GAGTAAGTTAACATCAAATTATAAAAGATCTTGAAGTCTGTATTAAATCTAATGTTATATCTAAAAATAGAAACTCAGAAATTTTTTCTCTTAAAGTATGGAGATGCTTTATTCTTGAGCAACATTACAAAATGGCAAATATACTACTCATTTGATAGTGTATTCTGTTAGTAATTAAGATATTTCTCTCCATTCAAAATATATATGCAAAAGACACTGGAAAAACACTGGAAAAAAAAAGACATAAAATTATCTGGCAAAAACAGGTATAAATAAAAGCAAAGTACTAGGAAAACCACAAAGGATTTGAAGTCAGACAGAAATAGAATCGAATCTTGGGCAAGTCACTCAATCTTTCTGAATCTTAAGTTCTTCAACTGCAAAATGAAGATATCTATTTCAGAATGACAATGAACCTTAAATAAGATAAAACAATAAAACATAAAGGTAAAAGGCTTAGCACAGTTTCAGGCTAAATGGGTATTCATTTAATGGTAGCTTTCATTAGTCCTATTAAAGCCATTTTATACCAAGCCTTAGTCTATTTGAAATCAATCACATATGTTCTTACATACTAATAAGAAAAAGAAACATACCAATTTAAAAAAGAAACAAAAGACCCCAACATGTAATTTTCAAAGATGACAACTAGTCAATAACATGTTTTAAAAGTTCAACTTTTAATCAGAGGAAGTCAAACTTTTAAATGTGATTTATTTTTTTTTTTTGGTCTATCAAGTTAACATAGTAAAATAAGAATATCCACTGTTAGAGAAGCTTGAAGAGGCAGGTACTACTAGTATACACTTGTATTATTATTCTAGAGAGCATACTGACAATACATAAGATTTGTATATCCCACGCTTTTGACCCACCAATTTACACTTCTAGGAATTTATACTATTGATATACACTGTAAACAAGAGCCTGCACCCAAAGACATATTTACAAAGATATAACTTGAAATAAAAAATAGATGGACTTAATACCTTTATCTTCAAATACAGTAAACTGATTTAGATAAATTATAGTATAACTACAACAAAGCCATTTATAGTCATGTTGCAAAGAATGAAGACTGATGTGGAAATGTTCATTATATGAGGTTAAATTAAAAAGAGCAGGCCATAAGTAACATGCATATAATACTATTTTTGTAAAAACATTTACACACATCCAAATAAAATACTAAATCTCTATATTAAATAGCAGTGATTATATCTCTGGGTATAAAAATGAGTGATTTTTTTTTCCCTATAAAAGAAAAAAATTATTTTTTTCCAATGTGGCTTACAATATTATTTTAAACATGCTCTATTTTGAGTTCTGATTGCTCTTCAAGTGGCAATGGCTCCTGTCATTTTTTTCTCATATCTCTTCTAAGAAGCTAATGAGCTATTATTAAAAGACAAAAATATGCTATAGGAACATATCTTTAAAGGAATACTATAATAAATAATGACCCACTAATTAATCCAATCAGAACTTCATACCAAAATTTTTATTTTTCAAAAAGGAATACATATTTATGTTGACGTTTCTTTCCAGACTTAAATAAAAATGTTATCTTTGTTGTGGACAAAATCAGTGATATAGAAAGGAAGGAAGGGACAATGACATTGATAACAGCTTAATCTATGGAAATTAATAGCAACCAATAAGCTTCTGATATATAAACAAAATGTGATTCACCACTATCTCTGAAATTAAAAGAAAAATCTCTAATTAAAGCGATGAGTATATGTGAAAATTTTAAAGGAAGCAGTATCGGCACTATAAGAACTATACAGTGGATATATTCGTATTTGTATTACATGGGGTACAGATAAACACATGGATTTTTAATGCTTAGAAAATTGGCACATTTCATAAGACAAGCAAGGTTCTTTCTTGGCTAGTTATAAAAATATACTAATTTAAATAACTATCAGCACTTGTAAGAGTGCTCTTAGAACATATAAGAAGATTTACTACTTATTTATTAAAACATATTAATTTTCCCCACATTTCTAATGGTTTTATGTGTTACAGTGAAATATAAAAAAAAATGATAAAGATTATTTCAAAATTACTGAAAGTTAGAGAGAGGAGAGAGAGATGGTTTAAGATATTAGTTTAGAACTAATATCTTATGTGTACCTTCTAGTTCCAGAATCCCTTCCCAATAGTCTGAGAAAGGAATTCAGAAATTTTGTGCAATCTCTAAGAGATTATTTAACACACATGCAAAAGACATACACAATTAGCATTAATGTATTGGTTAGGTAGAAAGCCAGAGGAGAGAAAGAGCAATTAGGAGGATCATTTTATAAACTATATAAATGTCTAACCAAGGTACTGTATACTTGAAATTAATAAAATTTTTAAAAAGAATTAAAAAAAAAAGACATACACTTATCTGAGGTGTAGATGAATGTATGGAGTAGATGAATGTGAGAATATATCTGAATTGCTGGATGTTGCTACTTCACCTTCTAATGTCAAAGTAAAATTAAAGTGGCCACAGAAGCCCAACTTCAGTACTAGAGATGTTTCTAATTAATTGAATTGCATAGGCTGTCAGTCACCAAACATACATCAACAACATGGGTGAATTTAGACACAATTATGCTCAAAGCCAGGCTTTTTGTTTTGTTTTGCTTTTTAATTTAAAGAATAAAACAAAAATTGCTATCAATGGGTATACATATTTGCATTTTGAAGCCGTTACTCGATCTTCAGAAAATGTAGGAGTAGTATTAACCTTTATAAGACACTGTGCTAACCCAGCCCACTAATGATTCTACAATCATTCAGAGTTCAGTAATCTAATGGATGAGGTAGCAGTTATGAGGCAGGATTTATGCCAGAATAAAGATAAAAGGTCTTTGACAACAATGGGAAAAAACTGACACGAAAATTCTTGAGAGTTCTAAGAAAAAGAGAGCAAAATTTCTGCACCTAATAGTTTAGACAAAATCTATTCTAAGAGCAGAAAACATACAAGAATTAATGAGCTTTTTCAGTTTCTATACTTCTATGTTAGGGTAAATGTCAAGAAAAGGCTTCAACTGCACACGAATACTTTTTCATTTTTAATAAACACTAGAAAAAGGCAGACTGTGTGTTATTTTGAAGAATGAGCAGATACAAAGATATCTTCTACAAAGAAAAATCTCTCAATAATGGAGCATTTTCTCTCAGAGAGAAGCTGTCCTTTTTAAAACAGGAAACAGGCTGAAGAGGGAATCCAAAATCTTGGCTCAGGTCTCGGCTCAGGTCTCAGCTCAGGCACTAACTAGCTGTGAAAGTCAAGTAAATTCCTTCATTCTTTGGGCTTCCATTTATGCTAATTTCTAGAATAATTATACTAATACTCTGAAAAACTGTTCCTTCATTTTTGTTAATTTTCTTCACAAATGCACCACACATGTTAAATAGTTTTTAGTCCAGTTTATCCTTTAAAAAAGATGTATCTTCCTACATAAATCATCAAAGCGCTGGAATAAACTTTTTGCTTGATGATGTGGATATTTAGCAACTAAAATGATTAAATTTTTTTGTTTCATATATATATATATTTGGAACATAATATACAATAAATGTTTGTTGAATAAATGAATAGACAAATGAATCCATCCATTTGTCTATCCATTGTCTCCCTTGTAAAAAAATGGCTAAAGTTTACTTAGTCTGCATTAGGCATGAAGTTGTTGTTACCAGCAATAAACTATTCTAGCTAAGGCCATGACATGTGAACGAGTGAAAGAAAACGTGGCTAGGAATTAAGAGACGTGAGTTCTAGTCCCAGCTCTGTTATTAAATTTCTATTGATATTTAACTTGCATGGTCCCAGTTTCCCCACTTATGAAGATGCAGATATTAAAATCTTCCCTCCATACGTGAGGACAAATAAAATAATAGCTATGAGAGAGGACCTTTTTAAAAAAATCAAAGTATTTTATAAATAAAAGATAACATCAGCTCTGATTTCATGCCCATAAAGGAGCTGGCTTTTGTGGTATGAAGCAAAGATTGTGAGAAGACAAGAACGCTCCTAGGGAATAGACTTTGCTTCATTTTCTGCTTGGGGCTGAGAGCCAAGCCCCTTAAAATTAAGAGATGCTCCCAGTGACATGTAAACAGCGGCACATGGACCTTGACCATGCCGACTTGACATCTTGTTTTTCTTTTCCAAAAGGACTATCTACCATATCTACTTTTAAAAAGTTTAAGACATAATTTATATACTATAAAATTCACATTTTAAAACTGCACAACTTAGTGGGTTTTAGTATATTCACGGAGTTATACAAACATTACCACTATCTAGTATCAAAACATTTTTATCACTTCTTTAAAAGGAACTCTGTATCAATTAGCAGTTACTCCCCATTCTTCTCCTCTTTCCCCATCTTTTGGCAACCACTAACCTCCTTTTTGTTTCCATAATTTTGCCTATTCTGGACATTTCATATAAATACAATTATATAATATGTGGCCTTTTGTGACTGGCTTCTTTTACCATAAATACTGATAACAATGGAGTTTTCACCCCCGAAGTACTCCTCAGAAAAGAAAAGCTTTTTCTTTGGAAACCTAAAGCTTTCATAAGAAGGGACAGTCTCTCAGTTACTTTACTTTGAACGACAGTGGTACACACCAATGTTTTAGAAACTCTGACTGAGCCTAGTTAGAACACTACATGGATATAAGAAGTGTCTTGCTTTCCCACTATTCAATAAAGTCTAAGTGAAATTATTCTTTGAAATATGAATGTGGACAAAGAGCAATATTTCTATGCTAACATAGCTTATATAAAGTCATTTTAAATGTTTAAAAAAATTAATAAATTAAATATTACATATATATTACTCTTTCATCTATTTCCCTAAAAGTTTGTAATTCGAAATGGTAGAAAAAAGTTTGTAATTCGAAATGGTAGAAAAAAGTTTGTAATTCAAAATGGATCTTCTCATTTGTAATACAAAGGAGATTGTTTTATATTCAAGATTGTTTTATATTTGGAAATATGAATTTCTAAGATCATTCAAAGGCATGGTCAGATCTGATGATATTCAGGCCTAACATATCTGATTTCTCCTCCGGCGTTTTAAAAAGTAGTTATAAATCCAATCCTTAGGAAATGTCTCAAGAGAAAACTGAACCTTATAAGTGTATGTTATATAAAAATTGAGTGATAATATGAGTAAAGACTTGGTAAGGAATGAAGGGATCTTGGGGGTTGCTGCTAACTCTCTCATTTTGAAACAAATGAGGCTCAAAGAGGCTAAATGACTTACCCAAGATCATATGGTGTGAGGGTTTACTGTGCTAAGTGCTTATCCTGAGTTATTTCTTAGACCCCCCTATCAACCCTATTCATTTCCCCACTTTACAGCGGAGGTTTAGAGAGGTAAATAACTTGCTCAGAGTCATATAGCTAATGCATGATATAGCTGGGATTCCACTCAGGTTTCTTGAGCTTCAGAGCCAGAGCTCTTAACCATTCTGCTAAAAAAGTCTTCAGGTCCTCATCAGAGCCCTTTTCCTGGAATCACATGATTTAAAAACGCATTTAGCCAGGTTCACAATTTCTAAACTAACTAACTGGAATAAAAAAAGAAATTATTAGAAATTAGCAAAAACATTGACAAAATAAGAGAAAAAGACAGGAGAAAGAGAGGCAGATCTAAAAATATTTTATAGTTTATAGATATTTAATAAAAGGAATAAATTATTCAAATGTTCAGTATTACCTGGTTAAGTCTCTCAGTTGAGTCACCTCAGCATCACGCTGACGTAATGTTATTCCCAATATCTGATTTTCCTTTTTAGCAGCTTCTAATTTAAACTGGGAGCTTTTCACATTGACTAAGGCTTCCTCCAATTCTAAAATGACAAACAAGTTTGTTTCTTTATTCCATTTTTAAAAATTTGTCCATAATTACAGTTCAAATACATACCAATTTTTATTCTAGTTGTCTCAATGTCAAATTGCTGCTTATTATCAAGTATAGTTTGATCTTTTTCTTTAAATATATCAGCAAATTTTTTGTTTTCATCTTTCTGATTTTCGATCACTTTTAAAAGCTCTTCATTTTTATTCTGTAGTAATTCCTGGCTCTTCAATGATTCTTGTAATTGATTTTGCAAGGACTTATTCAATGACTGAAGAGAAAACACTGTGAGACAAAACAGATCAAATAATTATTTCTCCAATTTAAAAAGTACAAACCTGGAAAAGATCTGCTTTTAAAAAAGAAAAGACTTAGAATTTATTGATTTTGTTTAATAATTGTATGCTTAAGCAGTTCTATGTTAATACTAAATGTATTTTTTTTTAATTGTTTGGCAGAAGTCATGCCTTTCTTATCCAATTGATATTTTGGGCATTAAAAACAATTTTTTTTTTACTTTTCTAAATGAAAGAATAACACATGCACAAATTTAAAAAAAATTCAAACACCACAAAATACCAATGATACCAATAATTCGCAATGAAGAGTCTCTCTCCGACCCCACCTCCACTCTCCCCAGAGGTAATCATTAACTTTAGTATCTTTCGGAAAAATACGTTTGCATATAACATATTTAAATGTAAATGAATCACACTACAGTATACTCTGTTTTTAACCTTGCCTTTTTTCCTCTTAAGATTTTATGTATCAGCACAAAGGTCTATAATATTCTTTTTAACGGCCATAAAAGTATACCGTATCATTAGTTTAAAAAATGCAACCTTGAATAAAGGCTTACTTTGAGGCACTATAGTAGAATCTGGGCATTCTGGGGTGAACAACAGAGACACGGTCCATGCTCTCATGGAGCTGGCAACAAATAAGTAATTATAAATAGCAATAAATAGTCTCAAGGAAATAATAAGTACATGCATAGAGAATAAAAAGAGAAGCTACTTAGACTGAGAACTACTGATCTCCTCACTTCCCATCTTAGCCTCCTCTCTCCCACCCATCCTCCCTATCCCCATTATTTATTCAGAGTAAAATCAAAATTATCTTTCCCAAAATTACTCTTGTGAAGTCGAGCACATTTATAAAGTTGTGTATTCTACTGGGTGCTCATATTTTTCTTATTCCTTTGTAAGAAATATTTATATATTAAGAAAATTAAGCCTTTGTCATATCATGTATTACAAAAACATGTTCTAATTTTGTTGATGTATTTTGGATGTATTTATAATTGTGCTATGTAGAAAACAAAAAAAAAAATTTCTGGGGCATATTTCATCAATCTTTTCCTTTGTGGCATATGAGTTTTTGTCAGGCTTAGAAAAAGATCTCCTCACCCTCCACACCTCCCCTCCAAAAATAATTCTCATCTTTTCTTCCAGTAATATTAGTTTTTTTCTTTCTTCTTTTACTTTAAGCTCTATGAGCCATAAAAACAATTTGGCAACATTTGTCAAAACTGCAACTGCATATACCCATTGACTCATCAATTCTATTGCTGTAATCTATAAAAATGCCCACACATGTGCACAAAGACATACGTACAAGATTTTCATTGAAGCACAGCTTGCATTGGGAAAATGGGGTAAAAATGGGGTAAGTTCCTAGATATCTATAAGCAGAGGACTTTAAATACATTATGATATAACCACATAAGCAGAATATCCAAGTAGTTCTTGAACAGAAACATATTTATGTATTGTGATAAAGAAATGTATCTATTACATGTTAAGTGAATCAATGCAAGCTGCAGAAGAGAATATACCATACAAATCTCATTTCTATTTTAAAAAATCTCATTTCTAAAATAGAAAAAGTATTTTTATATAGTTCTATTAGCACCTGTCACGTAGTAGGCACTCAGTAACTATTTATGAAATAAATCAATTCTATGTGAACAAAAGATATGTGAAAGGATATACACCCTTTTTTTAAAAAAAAATAGGGGTAGGTATATTATTAGGAAGTGATAGCATGGATCTTTTATTTTTTGTTTCTGCACTACTTTAAATTTTAATAAGGAGTATTAGTCCTATTATTTAAAAATTTTGATTAAAAAGAAAGTCCACTAAGACAAAGTAATTAAGAAAGCTCAATTCTTTATCAACATTTCCAGGGCCACAAAGAATTTACATCAGTTCTGAAAGTTCTTTTACCTACATTCAAGACTGCATTCCCGAGAACCAGATGCCTTCTGAGTTTTTTCTTGTTCTTTAAGTTGCTGGTTCAAAATTCTCAACTGCCTAAAGGAAATAATGAAGAAATATAAACACGAATGTAAGAATTCTAAGCTGACTTAACAGTGTACATTTGACAGCTTTTTAAAAAAGACAACATAAACCATGGCAACCGGGAAGATATGATCCCCCAAACAAAAGACAAAATCAAATAAAACCACACTACTGTTATTATTTACAGGCCTGAATGCCAGGGATAACAAAACCTTCCCTCACTAGAAAAAGGTTAACTTCTCTGATTTTTCCTTTTTCCTTTTTTGTTCTCTTATCTTTTCAGTGATGCCCTATTTCTTTCATTTCTTATCTCTTCTTGCTATTTTTGTCTTCTCTGTATTTTCATTCTTGTAGTAATGATCTACTTTTTAAAAGATGTGTCATAACTATGAACTAGAATGTCCATAGGGACTGACTGCTATCAGACATCTACCTGCTTAGTTTGTCATACACTGAAAAAATTTGGAAACACAAATCTATGCTCCTAATAATTTCTTTATTGGATAGAAAAGTCATTATTTAAGAGAATGCTAATAAGCAGGAACTCTGCTCTACAATGAACTCCATAATTTGTAGCTGCTTCACAAATAAGGACATACAAAAGGAAATACAAAAGTGTTTTCTTTACTTTTAAGAAGTTAACACTAATAAAGGTTATCTCTAGTATCTTTCCAGAATTACTTACCTGAAAATATTCAGCTTTACAGTATTTGTTTTTGTTATTGAGTCTAAAATGATTGTGTGCTATCCCATTATCATTTACATGTATTAATGCCAAATGGATTAAAGAGTAAAACGTAAAATATACAAACAAACAAAACCAACTATACAAGTTTTAGGTGGAAATCTATATAATCTTGAAGTGGGAAGGCATTCCTAAGCATGATTCAAAATCTAGCAACCATCAGAGGAAAGAATGAAGGATTAACTATATCAAAATTTAAAACTTGTTCTCGAATTAATAATCTAGAAGATAGCTTCCACATGTATAATAGACAAAAGGTCCTCAACATTTAACGAGCTCCTATAAATCAGCAAGAAAGGCAGTAAAAAGTGACCAAGACTAAGAATGAGCAATTCATATAACATAGAAATGGCCTATAAGCATGTGAAAAATGCTCAGTTTCACTAGTTATGAAGAAATACAAGTTTAAAACAGGAGCTATTTTATGGCCATGGGACTGACAAAAATAAAAGGAAATAACACTATTTGTTGGTGAGGGAAACATGGTATAGGGAAATGAATTACCCCTATAATCTCACCCAATTGGTGGGAGTCTATCGGTATAACTATTTTGCATGGCAATTCGGCAATATCCAGTAAAATGTAAAAACATTTCATAATCTTTGATAAAATGATTTAACTAAATTATCTAACCTCAGAAATAGTTACACATGTGCAAGACATCTATAATCTTGTAGATCTATACAAGGATGTTCACAATAGCAATATGTAATACTACCAAGTTAACAACAACTTAAAATGCTACGTAAATTATGGTATATCCATGAAATACTAACACACAGATATTAAAAAAATGAGACATCCATATGTACTGACATGGGAAGCTCTCCGAGACATATTATTTAATAGAATTCTGCTTTTCTGAAGTTTCTCCTTTATGACAAAGAATGCAGATCTAGAAAAGGCAGCACAGGCTGGTATCAACAACTCCAACTGGAATACTTCTTTTGGTATTTTCCAGAAAAACAACAGGTGCTGAGGTCCTCTTACACACCAAGTGTGTGATAGAAGCTTTCCTTGGTCAGATTCTTCTCTTTTCTTCTCTAACAAAGCCAATCTAAACTTTTCATCATTTATTATAAATCTCTCAACCTTACCCTCCTCTCAGTAAAATACTTTCCTATTTTCACTAAAAATAATATAGTTTGGGGACAAACTCTGTTATCCTTCTGTTCCAGGGTGTACAAATTTATCCATATGTACACTAATCCTCACTTCTTTCTTCTAGTCTTAGAGAAAGTGAGCCTCATCAACTCCCTGGATCCCATCTCCTCCTATACCCCAAGCCCAAGGGACTCCGCGCTCCTATTCCACTCCCTTCACCTTCTCCACCTGCAGCTTCTCCCTCTTTACTGGCTCATGTGCCTGAGCTGAGAAGCATAATAAATTGCTCTCATATTTAAGAAAACATTCCCTCTAACCTAATTGTACCATTAGCTACTCTCCTTCCTTCTCATTCTTGGCTTTCAAAACATGATTGTTCTATACACTAGTATAGAGATTATTCTTTAATCTACCTTTGTCCCTTTTGCCAGTTCATTTTTAATGTTATGCAAAGATCTCTCCCTTGATAAATTATTTCTTCCTATAACTTTTTTGATATCACTTTTTCTTAGTTTTCCTGCTACTTCCTTAGTTGCTCCTTCTCAGGTTTCTTTGACGAGCTACTCTTCTCGTGTTCTTTCTCTAAAAAGCTATTACCCAGTAATGTACCCTCAACTGTGTTCATACTCTATACCTTCTTGTGAGTTTACCACTTCTACACTGAAACAAATCACTTGCTTTTATCATCATTGTTTCCAGTGCCCAAAACAGTGCCAGGTCTATAGTAAAAGCTTAGTAAAAATGTGTTCAGTGAATAACTCTAAAGTCTACATTTCTATCCTGGACCAAGTTCCTGTGCTCTACTTGTACCTACATAAGTCCAGATGGTCTAAATGACATTCGGCATGTCTAAATCTTAACTTACTGGCTCTCTCTCATTACATCTTCTAATTCAAAAATAAAATGAAATAAAAATCTGTTTGTTTTCTTATTATTGAGTTGTATGAGTTCTTTAAATATTTTGGATATAAGCCCCTTATCAGAGGCGTTGTAATGGGCAGACAACCTAAACAGATAATTCTCCCAAGAAGACATACAAATGGCCAACAGACACATGAAAAGACACTCAACTTCACTAGCTGTTAGAAAAATGCAAATCGAAACCACATGAGATATCATCTCATACCTGTTAGAAAAGTTACTATCAACAGGACAAGTAATAACAAGTATTGAGAGGTTGTGGGGAGAAAGGAACTCTCAAACACTGCTCATGGGAATGTAAATTGGTACAGCCACTATTGAAAACAGTATGGAGTTTCCTCAAAAAACAAAACAAAACAAAAACTCAAAAAAACTGAAAATATTTATCTGCAAAGATACATGCACCCTGATGTTCATAGCAGCATTGTTCACAGTGGCCAGGACATGGAAACAACTGAAGTGTCCTATGATAGATGATTATATAAAGAAGATGTGGTACATATATACAATGGAATATTATTCAGCCATAAGAAAAGATGCAATATATATACATATATATGTGACAGAATGTTGAATTGTACACTTGAAACTTATTTGATTTTATTAATCAATGTCAACCTTAAAAATTTTTAATAAAAAAATAAATTAAAAAAAAAACAAATAATCTGTTCTTCTTCTAGTAGCTTCTACCTGGAAGAATTATATTATCATCTATCAAATGATCAAACCAAGACTGAGTCAGCCTTGGCTCCTCCCACTAACTCTCATTTCACTTTTTTGTGCTGCGTGGGTACATAACAGTCTAATATTTGAGTCTAAAATCAGGAAGTGGTCATGAATTTTAACTTGCCCTATAAATATTAAGGCACTCACTAGCTCAATGGTTCCTAACTTAAGTAGTACCCCTTCAACCATCATCCAAAAAATTTGGGAATGGCTTTGGGTGGTCACAATGAATGGGGCACTACAGACAACCAGGAAGGCTAAATGTTGAGCACTGTGTCAGGAGTCCCACACAAAAACTGTCTAGCCCAAAATGCCAAAAATGCTAAAATGCCATAGAAACAATTCACCTAGTTATTTTTTATTTAAACCCACGAGATGGCAATAAACTCCAAGGAAGTCCTGAAAGATCACTTTCTGGCTAAAAAGAAATGTATAGTTTCTAGATATCCAAACAGAAAAAAATTTTTTTGTTGTTTGAAAGTGGTAAAAAACAGTTTTTAATGAGCCAATGCATTCCAACTTTCATTTGTAATAGAGCTTACGGATGATTCTAAGTTAAGATTTCCAAAAAGGCACAAAAATTCCTATGCTTCTGCTGGAAACATGATTCTGCTAAAAAGCATAAATTTGTCAAATTCTTCATTTTTCAACAATTTCATTTTCAGAAGGTCAAGTAAACAGTGGCAATAGCATGCAAGATAATCTTTGACCTCTAAAGATACAGAGCCAAAAAGCTCTGGTGCCAAAGTCTACAGAATTAGTTTAAGACATCAAACTAATATCTTTTTTAAAAAATTAAAAACAAACAATGAGTGAAGTAGTAAGTATCATTTTTTTAAAGGGTTTATAAATTAGCTCCTAAAACAACTCTAAAATGTTCTAAGGAATAGAAATAAATAAAACCATTGATATTTCTGACAGTCACAATGTTAAAATAGATAATATTCTGAGACTAAGTTCTGGTAGTTTATTTAAGAAACCAATTAGTCATACCTTTAAAAACTGACTTAATTTTAAATACATCATAATATATTCTTTTGTTCCACAAAATACACCTAAATACTGAAGTATAAATAAATTGGTCTCTACTTCCTAGAGAGGCAATATAGAAATACAGAAATTAAGATCATTGTGCTCTAAAATAAAACTGCCAGGTTTGAATCCTATTTCTGTTATTTCTTTGGTTTGTGACCGTAGGCAAACAACATAACTTCTCTGTGCCTTGGTTTCCTCATCTGTAAATGAGAATAATAAAACACCTACCTCGCAGAGTTGTGAGAATTTAAAGAGATGACACATATAAAGGTTGTTGATAGCCTGGCACATAAGAAACATCCAATAAATGTTAGAAGAAGTATTGACTATTACAATTAGTATTATTTATTTTTGATTTTGATTTTGAAAAACTTATATTTTTATCATAGAGATCACTTACGCCAGGACTGAAGACAATATTATTAGAATTTAAACCCAGCAACCCCATCATATGTCATAATATCTAGAAACTAATGATTATTAGAGAAATAATTTTAAGCAGGTAAATCTTACTAGGTGTTGTGCCTTTACAGGCTCCAGATCCATGAATTTAAGCTACTTTCCAACTAAGAATCCTATTTTATTGCTTTTCAGTTTCTTGACCATATTTATACAAGTCCTTGAAGGTCCTGTCTGGTACAATGTCTATAGCTCATGCAACTGTAATGCCCTCTTAGAGTATACTCACATTGCAGCACTATGGAAGCACTGAAAATGTGCTCTAATTCTCTGCAACGTATACTGGTAAATAAACACCGGATTGGTGGCCTTGTTGGTCATCAATGAAACATTCAAAGTTAAGATGTTATTGATAATATGTTAGTGATTTCTATATTTCAAGATTAGATCCCTGGTTTACATCCTAAACATTAAAGATTTACTTTCCTAAATGAATTAAGACTATAATTCCAATATAAATTAAGACGATCAAAAGAAAAAATACCTAAAAATTGACATGACTTTTTGTTTACATTTGAGTGTGATGGGGCTACTAGTGCTCACCCATATCAGGTTCTCCTTTCCTTCTGGAATATATGAAAAGTATGGGAATTTATGTCCCAGATGTTTATATAGGCAGGGTCATATGCCTTATTTTAGCCTACAAAATATAAGTAGAAGTGAGATTGTCACTTCTAGGCTGGGGCATGTAAGAGTTGGTGTGCTATCTCCATGTTCTTTTTTTCCTGAAAAATACTTATTGAAACAGTGGCCTCATAATGGAGGGAACCTAAATCCTGTGTTATAGGAAGAAAGAGAATCTCTGATGACCCATGTTGATCTTGGTGTGAGGGAGAAAAAACTTTTGCTGTGTTATGCCACTGAGATTTTGGAGTTTATTACTGTAGTATAGCCTACACTAGCCTGATAAATACCCTGAAGTACTTCATTTTCCTCTCTATAAACCACCAAATGATAACAGAGGTAAAAAGAGGCAGGAGACAATATGACTAGTGAGCAGAAGTAATGAAAGCATTAGAGAATGCTAGGAATGTTTGGAAAATGGGGAAGGAAAAATAGAAACACATGAAGACAGTAAATCTATTTTCCTTATGGAGCCCTAGATAATCTCACTTGACACCTTTTGTTCTGGCCATGAGACATCTCTGCATAGAGACAAAAAGACTCAGAGCAATTCTTACCTGCGTAACTGAGCATTTTCACTTCTTAGTGGTTGCATGGCCAGTGCTATTTCAACTTGAATATCTGTATTTCCATTTATTGCTGGAAGAAGAAATATACATGCCTCCAATTCTGCAATCAATCTCTGAACTTCCGAATCCTCTACAAAAGGCAGAAGAAATGAGTAAAAACAATATTGTAAATTATTTTTGGATAAGATTATTCTCGTGTATTACTAAAAAAGAAAAATTTTTAGATATGTACATACTTGCTATAAATAAATTTAATTATTTCTAAATCTAATACACAAGTCCTATTTTCCTTTTTCCTGCTGCCTACATTGGATTATTCAGAAAAATTCTGAAGAAGTTAAATTCAGTAAACTAAAGATTAATCTTAAATCAAAGGATTATTAGTGATTTTTTTTTTTCAGTTACAGAGTTTAGTAGAAGATAATTTACATCTGTCTCTTAGTTCACATTACTAAAGGACTATTGCACTCCTATAACTGCTAAAAGGTTTCCTATAATTGATACGGTATTCACATTTAAAACACAACATTTGATCCTGACATAAGCAAATAATTCACTCACTTTAGGTGAGTCAATCTGGCAAAATATTGAGAGAAGGTCTATTAAGTTTTTATAATTTAATTTTCTAAAGGATATTTAACATAATCGACCACACTCATTTGCTGTAGCATCAAAAGCAGCACTATTTTAGTGACTAATTGGGGGAAGTGGTTGCTTTTGTAGGTGGCAAACAGACACAGGCAGAAGGTGGATTTTATATCTTTTGTCCTTTCATTTTTGTTCCTTTATTTCCATTCAAATTTTCTAGGGACTGAAAATATTTAATAATATTAACTGTCTGATACTCAAAAGAGGTAGGAAGTATATTCTAAGTTACAAAAATAACTCAATCCCACAGGTATTTTCACATCCTGATGAAAAGTATATGTGCACAGTAAACAACTGTGCACAATTACTAAGCAGTCCCCTACCACTCATAAACACTGGAGGCAAAGACCTGGGCTTCACCATTTTCTAACAATATAGTTTTAGTCAAATTACTTAACTCTTGAAGCCTAGATTTCTTCACGGTTAAATGGAGATAACAACAGTACCTCATAGGGTTGCTGAAAGGATTAAATGAGATACTGTTCTCCAAGCCTCAATTTCCTCAATTGTAAAAATGGAAGCAATAACAATACCTTATAGGGATGTTGTGAGGATTAAATGAGGTAATATACATAAAATGGCACAGTGCCAGGCACATGGTAAATGTTCAATAAATGATAGCTAATACTGTTACTATTATTATTACTATTGTTACCATGCTTAAGTACTTAATTAAGAGAATAGTACCAAGTTGAAGATCTAAAAACAGAGATTTTAACAGATTAATACTGCCTGCTATATTTCTACAGATACATTTTAAGATTTGGTATTTCATTTGTCAGTCTGCAAATATTAAGTATTCAATCAGTGCTTCTGCAATCAATTACTGTGTTTTCTAAGACGACAAACCTATAACTCACTCTAAGCAAAAGCCATTATTTGGAATATAGTACACATGTAATAGAAACAGAGGAATACAACCTGGCTCAAATATCTCATAACACCACTTAAAACATTTTTCTTGATTTAATTTTTTAAAAATCACAAAAAGTAAACTGAAAAAGGCATAAAAAGATTTGGACCCCTAAAAGTTTATCTCTACAAATTCTCTTTGGTCAAATATTTTCAAGATCCCTTTAGATCAAGTAAAATGAATATACACTTGAAAGTAAGACTGTTAGGTATTCCCTAGTACATTTCAAATCCACAGGAGAGAAGAGAGATCAAAAACTAAAAATTAAGAATAAAACTGGGCAGAACTCATTTCCTTATTAGAAAAATACTGGCTAATATAAGAAATATTAGCAAGACATATTTCTTTGAAAAATACCGCAAACTCCATGTCAATTCGTCTAAATTTTAAATGACTAAATAATGTGACACTGCAATTTAACATTAGGACCATGTTACAGAAAATTATTTTAAAAAGTAGTTATCCACCTTGCTCTGCTAACAAGGACTTCAGCTCTCCCAACAAATACTTTGCAGTTCTAACTTTTTCAGCACTCTGGTTTCCATTTTTTGCCTTTTGGACATCTTTTATTCCCAAATCTTGCACATGTATGTTTAAATCCTTTCCTTCACTTGTGACCTCTTCAGTTTGTTCTTTGGCACATTTTTCTTCATTAGTGGTCAAGAAAGCTGGCTGTAATACAGTGGGGCTTCGGTGTGTCTGACCATCTGGATGAGAACGCAACAGATTCATATACGTTTGGAAACACTTTAGTAGGTCTGATTCCTTAGGAACTTCTTGTTGTGGCAGAATACCATTAGCAAGACCCAGCTGCTGAGATGCTGGAATAGCTGGTTTGTCAGTTTTGGGCAGGCTACATGGAACTCCAGGACTAGTACTGAAGGAATTCCTTAGACTATCGGTACAGTTCACAGAAATTGTTCTACGTTGTGATGCAAACTGGTTATTACCATCGGTCTGAACTTCCTAAAGAAAGAGAAAAACAAGCCTTCAAAAATGTGAGCATAGACTCATTAATTATAATAAACTAGAGCCAAAAATGTTAGAAAATGACTTTTGCAAGATAGAGTTATAAATTACCAGTGAGTAAGCTGGAGCTCCCCTTAGAACAATACTCTAGTTTTTTAAAGCCTAATTAGTTTACTCTACAAGATGAGAACATTATAAAGCCGCAACTAAAACATTGTTTATAAACTTCACACATGGTTTAAAGGCATCAAAAATTAGTCCACTTTGGGAATAAAACAAACTTCTACTTTGAGAAATGGCATTGTAAGAAAATAAGTTCAAACATATAAAAAGTTTTGTACATACTTACAGAAACGTTATAGTATAAAAAATTGACTGTTGCTTAAATGTCTAAACATAGGGAATAGACTATGATATATCCACTAGAGTATTAACAACTTATTAAAATTAAAAAAAGTATATATTAATAAACATTTACCATAAAAAAGCAGTACATAAAACTGTATAAAATTTAATTATGACTATATTTTTAAAAAGAACTTAAAAAAAAAACCCAGAAAACAAAATCTACATAGATAAATGACTGGAAAGCACTCTCTCAATATGTTTGGGTGTTAAGTATGGATGATTTCTTTTTTCCATTGATATCTCCATCCTTTCCCCCTCACCATTGTCCTTAAAAATACGTAAAACTTTTATAATAAAAAATAACTTGGAAAAAACAATTGGTCTTTACACAACCTAGGGCATTAAGATACAATCCAAATTCAATATTCTCTCTTAAGATGACAACTTCTAAAAAGCAAATAATTACTTGTATAGCATATAAACTGTACCTACAGAATGAACCACTGGAGGGCAGGGTAGCTGCTGAGGTAACTGGACTAGAGTGGAAGTTGATAAGCCATAACTAGAATGTGGAGTTGCCTGAGATTCCAAAAGAGAGTCTAAAAGGTAAGAGGGAGAAAAAAAAATTCACATCTCACACTGCTTATATAATAACCAGGAAACTTAATTAGAGTTTATATTCATGTTTTTAAAAATATCATTTATACTAACCAGAACCAGACACAGTATGGCAAGGTACAGCAGGAATTCCATTAGGGTTGTTCTTTGAAGCCAAGTTATTCATCAATGACATTTGAGTCTGCACATGCTCACAGAGGGCTTGGTAAATTATGGGTGAATACATTCTATAATGATCTTGGAACGACCAATTTTGTGGTATATCTGATGAGTCTCTTTCACTTCCAGCAGAAGCTTCAGTAGGTATCTGTTTCTTATAATCTGAAGATACTAATGTGGAATAGGAAAAAAAGTTCTGGAAGTATGATTCTTCAAAAACTTTTATCATAAGACATTAGGGAAGAAACAGGACTCTCAAAAATAGCTCAATTCAATATATGCTTTATCACTATCACCCTTAAAGAAAATCACCTCAAATTCTTTTTTCTACAGTTCATCATCACTTAAATTCTCTACTCAAAAATTATCTATGTCTTTAAATTCTCTATTAAATGTTATTTGTAAAATCTCTCCTTCAATTATAATACCCCTTTTAAGGGTGTTATTTTGCTCTAAAATCCAATAAAACTCTTACATCTTGCTCCTTGACTAGTTCATGCTCTTAGGGGAAAATGGAATTTAAAAAAAGCAGAATACTTTACAACTATTCAGATGCTTTGATAATAAACAAAAATCAATCAATCAAAGCTTTGAAAGCAAGAATAAAAGTGGACTTAATCTACACATTGAGCCCTCGAACAAAATCCTAATCTGGCATTTAAAGTTTCTGAAGCCTGACCACAACATCCAAATAGCCATGAATAGTAGAAATGGATAAATTGTGGTATATTACAGAACACTATACTGCAATGTAAAAGGACAAATTACCGATATACACAACTACCTATATGAATTAAACAATGTTTTGTGAAAGATGTCAGACACAACACTTTACAGTGTACAACTGCATTTATATGAAGTTCAAAAACAGGAAAAACTAACCAATGGAGATAGAAGTTAGAAAAGTGGCTACCCAAGGATGAGTGCATAGGTGGTGATGAGGATACCGATGAGGCAGGAGCATGGTAGGGTGCTAAAAATGTTCTATATCTTCATCTGGGCGGTGAATATATAGAAGTATACATATGCAAAAATTTATAGAGATGTATATAGTTCTTTTATGAAAGTTATTCCTTAACTGTTTAGAGTGAAACAGTTGAAATATTTTAAATGGTATGGAATTCCCCAAATATATATTCAGTTTATTGAAAATAAAAACACTGCTAAAAGCATAAACTTACATGTAAAAACAAAAAGTTAAAGGCAGATGAAATACTGTCACCAATGAAGATAGGAAAAATTTTAAAGACTATTAAAATGTGAGTATGCAAATAGTTGGAGATGTTAGATGCTTCCATTTTGTTGTGGGGTATGCTTTCTTTAGAGATGATCTGTTGCTGGTAACATATTTCCCAGGCCCAAATACGAGTTCTGACAGTAATTAGATGAATAATTTTTGGCAAATTATTTAAGCTCTCTTGACTGCCTCTTCTTCTCTATTACCAAATGGCTGCAGTCTTAAAACAAACGAATATTTCATATTCACAAATTTTTCATCTGATTTCAATAATATACCTTTGAGTCCCCTCTGAGGTAATTACAATCAAAAACATTCTTCACTATCTGAATAGATGAGCTACAACAAAATTAACATTTCTACAAAAAAAATTATTTCTTATTGTAAATAGTTTTATAATAAAACAAATGGAAAAGTAACCTCTAAAATACTGTATCTTTGAAATCTAAAATGATGGATGGTGAGCTCATAGCCCATGGCCATCCGGAACACAGCTCTTCCTTTCCTCTTGATTTGCTGGTCTCTCTTCTGCTCTTGGATTTCCTTTGGCCCCATTTACTATAAGAATTGCTTGGTCTGAAGAATTCTCAGATTTCACATTCACAGGTCCCAGGGATTAGATCATTCATCTTCTTTTCAAAGGTTGGCTTTTACAATCTCTGATAAAGCTAAGCTACAATATTATGTCTCTGCCAGTAGATGTCATCATCCAACAGAAATTAATGAACTTCAAACAGACTTCTAAAAATTCGAAGCCTTAGAATTAAAATGACATATTTTGCTCCTTTATTAACTCAGTCCATATGAAATTCTACTGATAATGTTGAAGATTTATATTTAACAAAAAATCTTAAAGCAAATTATCCAAGACATGTTAAAAACAATAAATGGATGTAAAAAAGATTGCATCTTATTACTATATAATTTTAAAATAAACAACAATAACAACAAAATGAGCCTGTTACTACACCAATACAAATAAAGCATATTTTCTTGTCCTTGTTCATTATACCAAAGCACGCTACATGAAAATTTTACCCAACAGATTAGGATGGCAATGTGTCTCATTGATGTCAATTGATAAACAGAATTCAAGAAATGGAAGCATTCAGTCCACAAAACTTTTTCAGTCTTTGAATTCCAGCTGTTGTATAGCACTGTTGCTTGGTTGTATATGCATTGTCTGATAGGTAAGATAATTCCTGCCATTCAAATGTAAAACAAATACCTACTGCAGATAAGAGCTGCTAGATGCCTAAAAGGACACTTGGCCTAGATGGAGGCAATCACTGTTGAAAGTATTCTGCCTATAGTGGTTTATTTCCCCAAGGTGAGGGCAGCAATATATATGTTACTGAAAACAGGGCCATGTGTCTACAGCATTCAACATAGTTATCAAGTGTAAAAAATTGCTTATTAGAAAATGTTTTTTCTTTAAAGGTCAGGAGCACTCTAACGCAAGCTCAATGCCTCTCTGCCTCCTTATTCCCAGTATGTATCTAGGTGGGTGGGCTTGACTCCACAGACACTAAATGACCAGGCAGGTCCCAGGCAAATGTACATAAGGAGACCACTCCTCAGAAGAAGGTTAACATAAAATAGTAAGATAATGTATGTTAAAGTTGAAATTATACATAGATAGTAGTTAACACACTATAACAAATTCCTTAAAATTCTATTTATGATTTACTTCACTTGTGGAGAGATGGAAAAGAGCAAGTGCTGAGTGTGGTTTTGTGTATTGTTGAGCACTGTGATAACAGCAAAAACTTTGCACAGGTTAACAGCTGCCAACCACACACACAAAAAGATATCCTTTCTAGACAGTGCTGCAGTTTAGTAAACTAGAAAAGACAGTCATTGAACCAAAAGAAAGGAGGTTTCTGCTTTTAATGAGTCAACCTTAGGAGTAAATAATTTCTTAGGAGAACTAATTTCTAATATTGCAATCCTAAAAAAGATTGTTTTGTGGGAAGTTGGTCCTTCCTTCTGATGATTAAAGTATAGAGGAAAGAATGATAATATTGTATCCTGATCACAGGACAAAACTACTGATCTTCAAATGAGAGAATTTAATGCTAGAGGACTAGAATGCATGATATGCTCATCTGCTCCTCCAAATCCACCCCATATTCATCTCCACTCTGCTCTCCCTAAGATGCTGACCTATATGGATTATATTGCTAAGGGACGGTCCTTCATGGGTTTCTTCTGCTCCTACATGCCTTGCTGGGTATACCAAGAAAGTAAGACCTTGACCTAAGCTCTTTACTTGGGCCAATTCACAGGGTTATGTTTATAGTAAACAACCTTGATGGGTAAGGTAATGTTTCCCCTGAGACAAATATAGGCTTGCTTACTACCAAAGGGATGAATTCCCCAATCCAGTGTCTCTCAGTTGAAACTTAATCTGCAGCAGGCACAGCATCCATCTGAGTCTATCACATCGCCCCCATAAGAAATGGTATGAGGGGGAACCAACACAAATATGCTGATGTACATGCTGCTTGCTGTAGTATGTATAATAAAGTACTTTGTCTCTGACCAGGAGACTTGTGTCTCCTGCCAACATCCATTACATAGTAAGGCTAACTTATTAGCTTGTAAGAATAAAAACCAAATTGCAAACCTGATATACATCAACAGGGCTTCAGTTGAGTCCAATCAATGAGAGTCTTGAAATTACCAAGGAAAAGAAGAAGCAATGTCAGAGTATTTATTCTCAATTCCTTTTCTACAAGGCCACCTTGGGCTGGCTTTGTTCTTTAAATGAAGCTCACTGCTCTTCTAAAGGTGGCCTACTCTACACAATAGTATCTCTAAGTCCTAATAACCTCTCTTTCACCTCATTCCTTAAGGCCTATGGAGGATAACAGCTCTGCTGCTGCTGCTAGAACTGGGCTAGCATAATCCTTTCTCGTTTCCCTATACCCCACTCACACCTTTGTAATGAGTTCCTCTGTAAATAAATCCTCCTTAAATTATCTTAATTTGGGTGTTGCCATCTGTTTCTATTGGAACTCTGAGTAACAAGCAGTTGAGCTGGGATCCAAGTTGCTACCATGGCATCACTGTCAGCCACATACATTCCAAATGAGAGTTCCTTAAGGAAGGGTGCCCTGGACAAGAAATAACCTGCTTGAGAAAAAGTAGGACCCTGAAGGAATAGGCAATTGGTACTAACACTCCTGTCTTTGTCCATTGAGCCCCAAAAACGTAGGCCTCCATTTTAAGAGTTTAAACCAGAGGTTAGCACACTTTTTTTTAAAAGGATAAAGGACAAATATTTTAGGCTTAGCAGCCTAATGGCCTGTCACAACTACTCACTTTGGTCAATGCAGCACAAAAGCAGCCATAAAAAAATACATAAATAAATTAGCACATAAAACTTTATTTATAAAGTAAATAAAATAATCATTACTTATGCTGACCACTGGGTTAGACCAAATATTAACATTTAAACATGTAATTAATGTAAAAATTTGTGTTGTTTTATTTTTGTATTAAATTGTCTAAACCTAGTGTGTATTTTACACAAAGCACACCTCAATCTGGATGCTAAATTTTCATAAAAATATACTTGATCTGTATTTAGATTTGATGAAATTTACAGTTGATAAAGTGGCCTCATGTACCTGTTATTCCAAACTCATGTACCTGTTATTCCAATACTTAAAAGTTTTCTAATAACTGGATCAAGTAACAGTTTTCGAATTTAAATTTAAAATAATTAAAATTAAATAACGTTTAGAAGTCAGCTCCTTGGTTGTATTAGCTGTACTTTAAGCGCTCAATGGCTACATGTGGCTAGTGACTACCATTACAATCTGCGCAGGTCAGGATAATCTGAGGCTAAATGTGACTGGCCTCTAAGACAGGTTAGTAAACTGTTTCCTCCGCCATAGTCCTGACTCAGGGACTATATGGAACGTCAGCTTCTAGGTCTATGAATGCTCTACCCTCATTTTCTCAGCCTCTTTGCCTGGATTCCAATCTCTTAATATCCAGGGTTACTGCTGTAGTGAATTTTCTAAACTTCACCCCTTGCTTGAGTTGAATCACAGCATGTACTGCTGTGCTAACATTTTTGGCCCACCTGAGCTGTGGAACTAGCTAGACCCATTTTTGTCCACCTGAATTCCTACTGTGGACTTTTTCATCCCCACTTTGGGTTATCTTGTTCTATAGGCCTCCAAGGAACAACATAATCAAAACTTGCTTATTCGAAGCTGTTTGCTGAATCAGTACACTTAATTAAGTCAACAAGTTAACCATGAAAGTGTAAAATATCATTGGCTACATTCGCTGTCAATTAGTGGCAGGCCTCTCTCCTTACTTAATCTATCCATCTTGGAATTTTACCTTCTTATGTATCGTTTATTCTACCTGTGCAGCTCAACAAGTTGAGCTACTGAATATATACATATCGAATAATTTTAAAACAATAAGTATACACATGAAACACAACCAATTTGTGATTATCTGTGGAACAAAGATGACTCTATACACCTTTTAAATGTCATTCTGAATTTCAATCTTTTTTCTTACAAAACCCAGACAGTCATTTTCTACTTTTCTTCTTGGGAAAGTAATAGTAAGTAAAGTAACTACTCAGCGATTAATAGATGAGTAAAGAATGAGTAAAGAAAGATGAGTAAAGCATAAGCACACAAAACTGAATAACCAATATATTATTAAAATAAAAGACCAACTGCATAATTCTAATAACTTATCGAAACCCTCTGAATTAAGTAATATATTTAAATAAATAAGAGAAAAAATACTTACAAAGTTCTTTCTGGACTACTGAAGGAACAGTATGTTTTTCATGTCCTTTCTTTTTAGATCCATTTCTTTTGCCTTTTAAAGGTCTGGGATTATATTTATTTTCTGAATATGCTACTTCTGAACCTATTAATAATTAAAATAAAAATTCATTAGCATTAAGAGAACTATTTAATCGAGAAAAGGCAATCAACAAAGCACTTAAAGAATAAAACCTGAATCTTCATTTCTCAAAATGTCCCGCAGCAAAGAAGCACAACCATCAAGCCCCTGTATGGTTTCAGTCTGTAAAGAGAAAGTCATTTAGAAATGTATATGTAAAATTTTAATGCAGAAAAAATTAATTACATAGTTTTAAATTTTCTTTTAGGAGCAATTATTACCAGTAAAAAACATGTTTTAAAGCAAAAGGCTTCATACTTCCCTAGGGCAATTAATACTTTACCTTTAAATTTTTATCCCCACTTCTTAGCTTTTACCCGAAGATTAATTAAAATAGTGCACATTGTGTCTATTCAGTTTAATCTTACCTGACTTTCTGAATCAGAATGAATGGGATGGCCAGAATCTGCATTTAAACGTGATATCTTTCTTAAATGAATCCTAGAAAAAAAGTTCGTTAATATTTTTATAAATATGAAAAAATTTTTTCTAAAATATATTGTAAGTAGTCATTTTCTTTCCAGCAAAGGTTCGATAAGAAAACTTGTCCAACCATGTATAAGATGGATTTACATAGAACCTTATACAGATTTAGTTAAATACTAAAATGGTCGACATGGGTATATATGGAAAGCTCTTTCTCAGAGTTTTGTGAAGGTAGAGACCCATCTAGTTTTCTTGGGTAAGCTAAATTTAGTCCAGCCCCAAGACCTGAAAAATCTCTTGAGATTTCCTGAACTTGTAATCTTCTTTAAATACTTACCCTTTCTTTCCATTTGTTAATTTAGCAGGTCCAGTGTACTTTCTTGAAGGTAACACCTATGAAATAATGCATTATGTTACAGTAATACACAAGTATTTTTCTATTATGTTCAGTATGCTATCTTGACAAAACCTGAAATGTTACTCATGGTTTCCTTTTTTTGTTGTTACTGTGGTAAAGCATACCTAAAATTTATCATTTTATTCATTTCTAAGTATACAGTTTTGTGGCATTAAATACATTCACATTGTTATGCAACCATCAGCATCATCCATCTCTAGAACTTTTTCATCTTTCCAAACTGAAATTCTGTATCCATTTAACATTAACTCCCCATCTCCTCCCCACCCAACCCCTGGCAACTGCCCTTCTACTTTGTCTATGAATCTGACTACGCTAGGAAGTTTATATAAGTACAATTATACAGTATTTGTCCTTTTGTGACTGGCTTATTCCACTTAGCATATCCTCAAAGTTCGTCTATGTTGTGGCATGTCAAAATTTCCTACCTTTTTAAGGTATTATTTTAACCAGAAGTACCTGCTACAGTAAGTTGGACACTACTCAATCCTTAAACATGTTCTATAGCCCCCAAATTCTTCAAAACATGTTACTTCAACATATAGGGCAGAATTCATAACTGATTTTATTTATCCACAATCTTTAAAATGCCTGACAACACTAGCATATAAAAACTCTACCATTCCTCTTAATCTACATCCCATTCTCTGTCTTTCTTTTTAAACTCATATAGCAATGCTATTTTATTTTAAAAGTAACATACATGGGCTACCTTTTGTGTAGAAGAAAAAACATATATTTGCTTTTACATGCATCCAGTATCTTGAGAGTTACACATGAAACAGTTAATTGTAGTTGCCCCTGGAGAGGGAAACTGAAAATTTGGGGGACAGAGCAAGAAGGGAGATTTTCCATGGTATATCTCTTTATACCTTAAACAACTTTATAAAAATAAATATAATCTCTATTTAAAATATAATTTTAAAAAATTTGTTTAAATTCCCTACTGATTCCCTTGTTTCACCCTTCAGGTGTAGTCACTATTGGCAATTACATTTATGATTTTTCTTGATATGTTTACATATTTCATCCCAAGACAGCTTTGAGTAATAACTATTAAACTTTCTGGAGTTATATAATATTCTATTATTTGTTGGAATATGTACTCTCTCCTTTTAAGAATGCTACTGAGAACATATTGAAAAGTTGGGCTGATAGAGTTATGCTTCTCCTTGCAACAACTTGGAATGTGATAAAGTAATGAAACCAGCAGTGAGAAACAATGCTGTAGGAAATCAGACCCCATATACCGTAGGCTCTACTAGGCCCTGCATGACACTCTCCAGGTCTTTCCCTTCTGTTGGTGTCCTGGCCAGAACCATAATAAAAAAACAAAACATGGTGCTGCTAAGTCCAAAAGCAACTACCACAATTATTATCTTTCTTAATTTTTAAAAATATACTGAGATAAATGAGATTATATTACAATCAGGTAAAGAAAATCACTCAACATAAAAATACCTAGCAACAGTAATTATGAGATTGGCACATTTCTTTTTTTTGTATTTTTTTATTTCGAAATAATAGTACAAAGAACTGTATACACTTAACTCAGATTCCTCAACTGTTGACATTTTACTACATCTGCCATGTCCTCTCTCAAAATATATACATAGTACTATTTGTCTGAACCATTTCAGAGTAAACTGCAGACATGACACTCCTTTATATTTAAATATTTATTCCTATATATTTCCTAAAAACAGTTACTCTCTCATGTAACCAAAGAATAATGATCAAAATCAAGAAATTAACAGTGATACCACAGTATAATCTAATCTACAGACTTTATTCACATTTGCCAATTATCCCAATACTGTTCTTTATAGAAAAAAATTCTGGTCCATGTCCAATCCAGGATCACATGTTGCAATAAGTTGTCATATCTCTTTAGTCTCCTTAGTCCGAAACAGCTCCTTAGGTTGTCACTCATTGTCTTTTACAGCCTTGACATATTTAAAGGGTACAAGCCAGTTACTTTGGTAGACTGTCCCTCTGGACATTTACACTTGTTTCCTCATGATTAGATTCAGATTGAGAATTTTTGGCAATATCACAAAGGGATACTGTGTCCCTCTCAATACAACACGAGTAGGCATATGACGTCAGTTTGTCCCATTACTGGTGATGTAAACTTGCCAGGTTTTTCACTGTAAGGGTACTATTTTTACCTTTGTAAATATTAAGCATTTTGTGGAGAGATACTTTGAGATTACACATCCTATTCATCAAATTTTTTACCCAGTAGTTTTAGCATCCATTGATAATTCTTGCTTTAATCGTTTGTCAATTGGTGATTGTTTTTAGATCATTCTTTCTATATTAGTTGGCATTCAACTTTCAGTGAAGCACTTTTCCTTCTTCATTTATTTGGTACTATAGACTCACTGATTCCTACTTTATTCAATGGTTCATGATCCATTACTGTCATTAATTCTGATGCTCAAATTGTCCCAGATTCTGTCAGTATCAGTCTCTTCAAACCAGCTCCTGTATCCTTTAATATGTCCCCATTCGTTTTTAAGCTATCCCTTACTTTCTACAAGGTGCACCAGTCTCAATGTTTTTTCATTGTGGTAAGAACGCTTAACATGTGAACTACCTTAACAAAATGTTAAATGTACAGCACGGTACTGTTAACTATAGGCACTACGTTGTACAGGAGCACTCTAGAACTTGTTCATCTTGCATAAGTGAAACTTTATGCTCATTGAATAGCAATTCCCTCCAGCTCCTGGCAATTACCATTGTACTCTCTGCTTCTATGAATTTAACTATTTTAGATACCTTATATAAATGGAATGATGCAATATTTGTCTTTCTGTGACTGGCTTATTTCACTTAACATGTCTTCAGGTTTCATCCACGTTGCATATGGTAGGGTTTCCTTCTTTTCAAAGCTGAATATTCCATTGTGTGTATAGAGCACATTTTCTTTATCCATTCACGAATATTTACGTTGTTTCTACATCTTGACTACTGAAAAATGCTGCACTGAACATAGGAACGCAAATATCTCAAGATTGTTTTTATTTTTGGATAAATACCCAAAGTGGGATTTATTTTTTGAGGAACTTTCAGTTTTTCATAGTGGCTGCAACCTTTTACATTATCACCAGTGTACGAAGGTTCCAGTTTCTCCACATCCTCACCAACATTTTTTTTTTTTATAACAGCCATCCTAACAGGTGTGAGGTGATATCTCACTGTGGTTTTAATTTGCATTTCCCTGATTACTGATGCTGACCATCTTTCCATATACCTGTTGACTATTTGTATGTCTTTGGAGAAATGTCTATTCAAGTTCTTTGCCCATTTTTTAATTAGGTTACTTTCGTTTTAACTCTTGCTTTGTAGTTCCTTATGTATTGTGGATATTAATCCTTTATTAGTTATATGGCTTACAAATATTTTTCCCATTCCATACGTTGCTTTTTCACTGTTAATTATTTCCTTTGCTATGCAGTTTTTCATTTTGATGTATTCAAGTTCATCTTATCACTTCCCTGTGAACAACAGTATTTAGAAACCAAGATCTAGGCACTAGTTGTACACTTTGCTACTGTGCCTTCCAATTTTTTCATAAGTTTTCATTATTTACTTATGGTCATCATGACTAGATAGTTGCAATTTTGAATCTTGTATTTTTACTTTTAAATCTTTCTATATTAACATAGTCTTCAAAATTTGTTAATTGTTGCATAGTATTTCCTTGAGTGCAAGTAAATAATGTGCCCTTGGTTAGCTTCATGCTTCACAATTAAGAAACAAACATGAAATAAACCTTTCCATATACTGAAAATAGCCTTTCGTATTCGGGATTAAAAGCTTAATTATTTGGTGAGATTACTAGCCATTCAAAGGCCCTTGATACAAATTGCTAAATCGCTGAGTGCCCCAAATCACAATGCATGAGAGAATCAGTTTGTTTTACCTCACATTTTCTTCCGTCAGGTATTATCATTAAACTTTTCACTTTGCTATTTGAGAAAAACATAAGCATTTCTTGGACGTCGTATTTCCTACCAACAAGTGCAAGATAAATTACATTTGTGGAACGATTCAGAGTGTACTAAATCCTTTCATTTACACTTAAAACACACTCTGTGAGTTATTATCTCTGAGATAGGAAGCTAAATTTCAGAAAGGTGGCTTGTTCAGTTATACATCTTCTTAGCATAATATTTAAAAGAATGGACTCTGGCACTAGCCCTTTAGATCTGATTCCTGTCTCCACTGACAACCAGTTGTGTAACTGCAGGGAAGTTATTTGAACATTCCATGCCAATTTTCCCATCTATAAAATGAGGGTGATAATAATATCTACCTCCTAAGGCTACTGTGAAGATTAAATGAGAAAATATGTTGTAATATGTAAAAGCACTTATAGTACCTGCTACAATGCTATCTAAATGTTAGCTATTATTATCATTAAGATGGTAGTAACTAAGTGTTTTTAAGAGAGCTAAATTATGTTGCAAACATATGCCAAGTGTGAGGCAGATGTTTAACCATGTTCTCTGACTTAATCTCTCCAATTCTTTGAGGCAAAATTTTATACCTATTTTATAGATAAGAGAAAGGAGGCTCAGAGAAGTAAAAAGTACTTTGCTTACTATCACTACCATAGTAGTGACAGAATTGGAATTTAAATCTGTAAGTGACGATGACTACAAAAACCATGTTTTCCCCTCTTGCTGACTGCACATATTGAGTTCATTCAATATAAGAGAAAAAATCTGTAAGGGTGGAGCTAGTCTAGAAGTACTCATGTCCTCTTGAGCCAGGACTTGAAAAAAGGGTAAGATTCACTTTAATGGAGGAACGTAGCATTACAGGTGAGTTAATAAATGAAGGAGGACCAAAAAAGGGGGTGGTGGTGGATACATTAAAAGAAGAGTAAGATCACTGAGTAGTGGGTCTGTGTTAGAAAGAGTTGATTCATTATCCGAAAATCGACTGTATGCCAGGTGCTATCCCAGGCCTGAAGATGCAGAGATAAAGTGTGTAGTAAAGGAGGCAGATAGATTAGCAACTTCTCTACCCTAAAATATGTGATTTGATAAAGGTTAGTACAGGGCACAAAAGGGCACCAAGGGGCACCCAAACAATGGGGATGTGAAAGTGCTAGGCAAACTTTCCAGAAGTGGCCCTTGAACTGAAGGCCAGGAGATGGGAAGTGAAGGTGTCAGTGATAAAAGGGGGCATTCTAGGTGTCACAAAAATCGCAAAGGCATAGAAGCACGAGAGGGCCCGGGGCATCTAGAATACTGCAGAATAAGTGAACAGTGGAGATTAATATTGGAATGGGGGTGGAGGCTGGTAAATCATGCACTGGCCGAGATTTTTAAAATGGCTGTGTTGACAAGGCCAAAGAATTGAGATTTTTATCTTGAAAAAGAAGTGTTTCAGTGTCAGATTTTAAGCATAAAAGAGAATAACTAGTTACAACGAAGGGCGTGCATTTGAGAGGGGTAAGGCTAAAGTAAAGGCAGGGACACTAACCAGACTTTTTTTTTTTACTAGTAGTAAAATACCAGCAATCATGACAGAAGATCAGCTAACAGCGGCACTTGCTGGAAGAGCAGAAAACCTGGATTTGCTGCAACAACACGTAAAGAGGTTAAGTCACGGCACCCAACAGCAGAGGCTGAACTCGAACCCGGGTCCGCTACAGGACTACAATGATTAAAATAGAATGTACATCTATGGACAGTGCGGCTGCGTCAAGATGTTAAGATGAGATGTCCCCCCTCACATTCACACTCCACACACACACTCTCCTTTCCCAGCATTTTGAATGCGGCCGCAATGTTTTTGTTGGTATTTTTTTCAGAGTTTTGCACTTCTACCACCCGAGAATCCCTTCAGTCCCTTTCCACCCCCAGAATGGACGCCTCAGGTCCGCGGCCCTCACCTGGCCTGGTCGAGATCCGGACCTGACCATCTCTCGCAGCCTCAGAAAAGCCAAGACCGGGGAAAGCCAAGCCGGATGGTAAAAGGAATTAACCGCCGTGGACTCCGGACCTCCCCTTGGCCCGCCCCCCAGGCTTCCGCTTCCGGGAGGGAGCCCGCCGAATGCAGCGGCTTCATAGTCCCGAGCGCGCCGCTGAGGCCTCTACCCTTCTCTCAGCCCCGCGCACTGGGCTTGCGCAATAGACCCCGCCCCGCTCCCTGCTATTGACACCCAGCGGGAGGGTAGGGAAGGACGCTGAACGCGAGCGGAGCGGGGCGGGAGAGGGCTCAGGTGGGACGGGGCTGAACGGGGTGGGGCCCAGGTGGGACGGGGCGGGGCCGTCCGGGAGGGGCGGGGCCGTCCGGGAGGGGCGAGGCGAGGAGTCTGGGCGCTGGGCTGAGAGTAGCCGAGTTCCTGAACACCTGGAAGAGCCGAGTTTGTGGTCCCACTGGAAGAGCGCTTGGTGGAGGATCGCTGCCCTGCATCAGCTAGGGGAAGTGGCGACAAGCACCCGACAGGGCCAGGGGAAAGGATGCGGGTAGATGGAGGATAGGCTTCAGAGAGAATTGCGCTGGGCTCTTGGGTTTGGGCTGTTTACTTTTTTTGTTCGATGTCTTGTGTGCCATTTTCAATGATTTTTTTCATGATAGTCAATTAAAATCCTCGCTATCTCTGCATAATTCTAACGGAAATTTCAAAATTATTCACTGCAGCCCTTGATCTCAGAATGATACTCATTAGTTGGGATCTTGGTTTTACTTCCATACATAGTTGTTTTCTCTCCAGTCTAGGTAATTACTGTTAAAGAATGACACGGTATTTGACCACGGCATGCTGCACGAATTTTAATGGGAATTAGTCAGGTTTTTAAGGCATTCAGCTGGGTTAATGTTTTAGAACTAGTAGGGGCGAAATTAACCCAATTGATTCCATTTTTCTAAACCAGAAAAAGAGCTACCCTTTGAAAGTCTCAATTACAATTAAAACAAAAACCTAGAAACTAAAATATGTCCACTAAAATATGTCAGTGTGCAATATATTGCACACTGAATTATTTGCGAAACTACATATTTAATAAATTTAGTTTTGAATTAGACTGAACCATCTCCCTTCTTCATCTCGCTCCTGTAATATGTGTTTAATATAAGCACCCGTGATTAGATTTTTTAGTTGACTTGATTTTTAAAAACTGGTATTGATTTTTCTTAATTAGCACGTGCTTATTTTAGAAATTATAGATGAGCAAGAAACAGTAATCACCCATATAATCCCACTATCCAGGGAATACCACTCTTAACAGTTTGGTGCATTCCCTTTTAGATTTTTTCCAACTGTGTATACATATATAAATATATTCATATACAATACAATATGATACATTTACTGTAACATGAGTAGTTTCTGTTAATATCAACATTGTTTCCATTAATCTACAATTACAAAATGACTGCCTGGTATTCCAGTTCTCTACAGTTTGGAATTTTATGTTCCCAATTCTTTTTTTTGTTTGTCTGAGGTTTTTGTTTTGTTTTGTTCTGTTTGCGTTTTTTCCCCAACTTTTTTATTGTGATTAAATACACAGAACATAAAATTTACCACCTTAACCAATTTTAAGAATGATTCAGTGACATTAAATACATGTGTAATATTGTGCAATCATCACCCCCATCCATCTCCAGAACTATTTTCATCTTGTAAAACTGAAACTCTATACCAATTAAACAATAACTCCCATTCCACCCTTTCCCCAGTGCCTGGTAAATACCATTCTAGTTTCTGTCTCTATGATTTTGACTACTCTAAGTACCTCGTGGAAATATTTATTCTTTTGCAACTGGTTTGTTTTGCTTCTCTTCAAGGTTCATCCATATTGCAGCATGAGTCAAAATGTCCTTCTTTTTTAAAGCTAAGTAATATTCCATTGTATGTTTTTACCACATTTTCTTTATCCATTTATCTCTTGATTTATACGTGGGTTGCTTCTACATTTTAGTTATTGTGAATATTGCTGCTGTGAACATGGATGTACCAATATCCCTCCCAGACCTGCTTTTAATTCTTTTGATTATATGCCCAGAATTGCTGAATCATGTGGTAATTCTATTTTTAATTTTTTGAGGAACCACCATACTCTTCCACAATGGCTGTACCAGTGTACATTCCCACCAACAGTACTAAGGGTTCCAATTTTTCCACATCCTCGCCAGCACTTGTCATTTTTTAAAAAACAGTAGCCATCATAATGAATGTGAGGTGGTATATTATTGTAATTTTGATTTATTTGCATTTCCCTGATGCTTAGTGATGTTGAGCATCTTTTCATGTACTTATTGACCATTTGTTTATCTTCTTTGGAGAAATATCTATTCAACTCCTTTTTCCACTTTTTAAATTAGGTTGTTTGTAATTTTATTTTTGATATTTTAGAAGTTCTCTACATATTCTGGATATTAATCTTGTGTCAGATTAATGATTTGTAAATAATTTCTCCCATTCTGTGGGTTGCCCTTTTATTCTGTTGATAT